TTAATATATTATATATTAATATTATATATATGTATGTATGTATATCGCATGGTGGTATATATGTCTTGGTATATTGTTTACACATATTTTCATTAAGTCGTATGTATATATACATACACGAAGGTAGATAATGTAGAATTGTAATATCTCATTGCTGATTATATTATGGATTTTTATTAACACTTTGTTACCACTCTATCTTTGTTTTATGTATCATGCACATTAGGGGCTAGATTTGGACATGCATGTTTGTACATATATGTCGTTTGTTTTTGAATAAGGCGTGAATTCGACTCCCAACATACAGACCAAGGCTATGAATCAATATGTATGTCGCTCAAGATTCTTCGTAAAGTTTGCACAGCCACCTATTTCTGCGAAATAGCTTGATATTTCATTCAGATAATTCACATCAACATGATCATGTTCAGACCCCTCTTGTATTTGATGGTGCACCGTGCACAGCTACTTCTTGAGAACTAAATTTATTTCTCCATCACTTCGGTATATCGTATCTTATTATTACTTGTGCAATGTGCACAGACACCCCTTGCGCACCAACGTTATAACACCAACACTCCGCTCCACACAGTCCCGTGGGATGATGTTATGGGTCACCAACATCTTTAACAGAATGGACCACTCGCAACTACACAACGAAGGCCCTGACAAGACGGCCTCTGATTTTGTACTTCGCATGGGTAGGTGAATCAATGCATCGTACATTAGTATATATCTGACAATGATACGAAAAGCTTCCAGCTCCCCTCGAGTATATATATTCTATATGGAGTGTGTCGCGTGGACCTGACAGATTGCCTTCGGGCGGTACTACATACCTGCATTGGAAGAAATGAACAAGTACGAATGTTGACAGCACGTGTATTCTAATCTCTCATGGTCTCACAACGCTCGCGTCTCCCACCCTGTAGGAGGTCTGGCCAAAATCTGTGAAACCCCTACAACTCCAGAGAAAGACTATTCAAATTGGCTGATGCAACCTAGCGATTATCCGAAGTACGTGCGTACCGGGATGTCACTCCGAGAAGGTATCCATAGCAGTCTGAGTGGATGGGAGTAAGGGAGGACGGTCTCTGCTTGTTATTTAATATGGGAGTTGCCGTGAATGTGTATGAGAACAACTTATTGTATGTGCCATTCTAAGCACTCGGTTAGATGCCGACTTTACAACTTCGTATAGTCTATGCCTCATCAAGCATATATGAGTACTTCAAAACCCCTGTGCTTTTTTCAAGATATCATTATCCGTGTTTTTGCGTCGTGCTAGTCAATTTGCACAGGCGCAAAAAAATAGCTCTGGTACGGGGCTATTAGTTGGGGTTGCTACACATATCTGAGTGCTATTGAGCTACACGTGTGTTTCTTTGCATATCCTTGTAGGTGCATGCCCGCATTAGCGTACTTCAAAGGTATATACGCACTTCACTTGCTGGAGATACGTGTATTGTGGCACTCTGCAGTATCTCCTACCACAATTAGTAAACTATTGTTTTGAGCTGAAACTAACAGTCAGTGTGTCCCTACATATTCACAGTGAATCTCGATAAAGTTACTGTCACGGATATGGGAATGGAACATTTCCGGAATCTGAGTGGGCTAATGAGCATCAGTTTAAAGTCTTGCAAGTAGGTTCATGCGTGACTTGTGCTCTAAATCGGATATTCAAGTTGCCGAGTCGAGTTGAAAATTTCAATTGTTCAACAGCGATACCATTCCTGGCAGTATGTCTTTTGCACTCTCATTTTTTTTTACTATGCCCTACGATGTCATTCGAGTGGCGGCTATAGTCACGTACGAATCCTATCTACGTCGTCTGATCGCAATTTCGTTTCTTCCAACTGATGCCTGCAGATACATAACCGATGAAGGCATGGACTATCTTTTAGAAGGTGCGAGAACCCTATCATATGATTTTGTGTATCTTTTGTGTCTAATTGTTGTACGCCTGCCTGTCTACGTCTACTTCAGGTCAGGACTTCATAGTTCTAGTGACGCAATCGTTTGCCCATCTCCGTAAATTCGGATTTAATTGTTATTGACATACGCTTCAGGTTCGTAGTCTATTTGTAGTCAATCGTGCATTTGGTTTTTGAGACGATAGGCGTATTCTTAGCACATTACCAGACAACGAGTACTGATATTTGAGGGCAATCGGTATCATTACATTTGTACCTGGGATAGAACTGATATCGGTTTTTATTTTGTTGTAATTTCTCACATCAGGAAACCCTGTTCTTCGAACGATCGACATTTCGGACACAAATGTCACCCCGGCCAAGCGAGATAGCCTGAAAAAGCTTAACGGAGTTACCGTGATCTCAGATTGAAGGCGCGATAAGACTGCTCATGAAACAATAGCCCATATTCCTTTGTAGTTTGGTTATACTCCACGAACGCACATTCGCTCAGAGTTTAGTACCAGAATCGCTTAGATTTCGGTATTCGTATGTGGATGTGACGTAAACTAGCTGCCGCACAATGACGTGAGCTCAGCATCTTTAGCTGCATAGTCGTGCCGGTAAGGTGACAAACGGGCGTACAAGTGCTATATCAAGTAGATTTAGCGCATAGTTTACGTCTCAAGCCTACCATGCAGCCCTATTTTCAACTCGGGAGTCCTTCAATGGAAGCATAAGAAGGGCTGTAGCTTGCTACTTCTGTATAAATAAATTAGCTTCGGCTTTTTGGCAACCTGTTCCATCAGCATAACGGTAATTGTACTCAACGTGCTCGAACTGAAGTCGATAAATCGGACAAGCAAAATTCTACGCAACAGGCGGCGTTTTGAACATCCATGTTTGGCATAAAGCCCTGTTGCGGGACTAACTTCGGAATTAAATATTCCATTAATTTTTTTCTTTGCAAACATACGTGTTGATGTGTAGCTGATATATGTTTATTTGAATTGATTGAGTCGATTCTCATCTGCTGGAACTATAATCATAAGCCACTATGCGTCTACTTGGCACTCATCCGTGTGAAATGTTCCATATATATATTGTTCCGGTTATTGTTGTACACATAGGCTTGCCGTTTGCCTGTTCATGTTAGGGTATTCTGTATGTTGCGAGGCAACACATCGCATTAGGCTCGCATTACACCTTTCGATATCGAACGGCTGCAATAGCCTTCAGTTTAGAATTTATGGTGGGACCGAGTTTCTTTGCGGTTCCATGCGTGCTGAATTGCATTCACGTAAACCCCTGTATTCCTCTCGTCTGCTATTTCCTAAACACATTGCAAGCTGCGATCTTTGCAAGTCTGCCCCGAAGTCATTGAGGGCTGTTTTGCTCTAACACTTCCCTTGATATTTGTGAAAGTCTCATCTATATATATATGTATATATATAGCGTCGTATAAAATCAAACTGCGGCTTCAAACAGATGCCACAGACGTTCTTTGACGACAGGAGTGGAGCACATCATTCCACCAAGCTTCAGGAGCTCGTCCGCATTCCACGGATCGGAAACCAGGCAATGTGCATTGTACTGCATCTCAAATCGATTGAATGCGGATTCCAAAGTGATAGTGGCAACTACATTCTCAATGTTACTAAGCGTGTCCACTTTGGTGGTCTTGAAAAAGCGCGTGTCTCTGTTGTATAGCCCATCGCAGTTCTCCACGCCAAAGGCAACATTGCCCGCGAAGTACATACACCACTCCACGTTATCGTAAGATGCATCAGAATTCTTAACTCGTATCTCATAACCCTCATTCACCTCCGCATCGGGTACAAATGTCCAGATATTATTTTGTTGCTCTTCGCATGCACTCAAACTTAGATCACCTTTGAAAGCTCCATGCGCTGTTAAACATAGGCCCTGTATGTCTTTGATGTAGAATCGTGCGCCATCTGACAGCAACTTCGGTGTGACCTGTGCGTTGTCTCGCGATTGCATGGGCTGCTGTATTGTTTTACCTATGAGAGTATGTGGTCTATACTGCAGGACTTCACCCGCGTCTATCGCCAGTGCACAAGCGTAGTGACCGACATGAAGCATAAGATACGCCGAAAGCATATGTATGAGCAACATGACCACAGATATATTTCGCGATGTAATGTTGTGTGTGTGTGTGTTCAGTGTGTGAAGTACTTTACAGTAAGTAGCGACTTTAAAGTGGAGTACAAGAAGCCATATTTTTTAAAAGCAGCATAGTTTATTGCCTATTGCGGGAGTGTTCTATTTACAGTCAGGACTAAGGAAAGCACCTTTTTTTTTAAAAGCAGCCCACGCAACTCACAGAAAAGCCTTTAAAAAAATGTAAAAAGCGGGTTTTCTATAGCGTATATCACACACAAGAGAGAAGAAGAAGAAGAGAGAAGCACACATAACAAGAAGAGAAGAGGCTGCACAACAAGCAAACGACAAACGCCCCAAGCCCTCAGCGGCTCAGCCCCCAACTCCCAAGTCCAAAAATAAAAATACAAATGGTGAACGAATGCAAAAGACTAAAAAGAGACTCAGAGAGGGCTATAAAATAAAAAAGAGCAAAGAAGGATCTGAAATCTGACCCCACTATCGTCTGATTCGCTTGAGTTGTAACCTTTCGCCTCCTTAGCATTCTGTAGTAGCAATACCGAGACGCGGGGAGCCGCCGAGCTGGGAGATGCGCATATGGTGCTTATTTGCGTTTTACGTTTTCCGTGATAACGTATATATGTCGATACAATTCACGTTTACTGATAACGTTTACTTTGGGTTTGTCTTGAGTGTAAATTTAAGGTACAGTATTAAGGTTCTAAGGTGCAATATGGATGATCTTGTTCATTTTGTAGTCCGATTGTATTCGAAATATGTCAGGTCTTCTATACTCAGCTTGCAAGTTATCACGTTTAAAAATTGACAATAAACACGTTTACGTGAAACGCATTTTCAAAATGAACAGAACGTGACGCGAATTTAATATGGCCAATTATTAGCCATATGTATATACGAGTTATAAATAGATATGGATGACATCGCCTAAAGACTAAAACAGGTAAAGGTTCCACATAGGTGGGAAATATATAGAATTATTCATTTCCATTTTATAGAAATAATACCCTCAAAATTAAATAGATCCGGATTCGGGCTTTCGACAATCGACATTCGAGTTCGGAGCCGTATAGGTCACAGGAAGTGGGTCAGTGGGGACTGGGGAGTTGGGGACTGGAGACCGGGCCCACCGGGGAAGTAACTTTTCTTTGAGGGGGGCCGAGGGGGGTGATGAAAAGAAGATATATGTAGGTTACAGGCTATACAAGACATACTCACCCGACACGACTCACAACTCACGACTCACGACTCACAAGTCACATATCACGTATCACAACGATCTATGGAAGCTAACACATATGTTTACCTCGGGTTTACAAGTACGGGATCTACTATTATATACAACAATACAGTTATCCACCAGTGTATCCGTTATGTATTCAAATAAATGATATGGTTATACTTGAAGGTATGAAGTATATACACATATGCATATTTTATATACCTTTATATATATATATATATATATATATATATATATA